TAAAAGTCACATCATTTCCTGTGAAACCTCCATAACAGAGGTAAACAGAACAGTAAATAAACGACAGACCTTCATGGATACATGCCACTGTCTGCCTACATGCTTGCTATCGTGTGAACTTCCAAAATCATGTGTGGTGTTGCAGATTTCCCGTGATTTCGTGACCTTGCAGGACCTGTGTAGAACACTTGCACTCTTGTTTTGTCTGAAGCCGATTGGAAGGGAGCTTGTGGCTAAAATCGCTTATGCATCCAGTGGAAGGGCTGGGTCAGATTGCTTAAGTACAGATGCCACTCTCAGAGCGTGCACGTTAGCAGAAGTACCTAGTTAGTACCTATATCTATAGATCTATATCCATATATCCATAATCACGGAAGCAGGGAGAGAGGCTCACAGTGCAGTAAACTTTTTCTGCATCTAGATGGTGCCCTCTGTTGAAAAACTCCAGATTTTGGCTTCCAACTCCAAATCTTAATCTTAAAAAAATCTTACTTGTATGAGCTTCCAGGATGAAATGAGACAAACTGTATTTATTCAAGTGAAGCAGCGTAAAGCTTCTAAAATCTATTGACAATTCTTTTGAACAGAATAAGGTCCAGTCCAAATACTTGCACTTCTAAGTCTGCATTGATGTGGACTTTGGTGATAAGTATTACCCACAATCCATTTCTGTGAGTGAATTTTGAGAAGAAGGTGGAGCAATGGCTCAAGTGCTTTTTCTGAAAATATGTATTTCCGAACAAAAGAAGTTCATTTTAAGACGATTAATATTTATTCATGCTCTGAAAGTGACGTGTAGTTTTTACCATTAATCTCTGGAAATATCCATCAAAATGTTAATGAATGAATGAATGAATGAACGAATGGATGAATGGATGAATGAATGAAATGATGCCCAGTTGTTGAAAATATTGGCAGCTTCATAACATATGACCATAAAAATTGGGTTTAAAATACATGGGAGCGGGTCTACGTCTCTGGGCGACACCGTACTAGACACAGTGGGTGTTTCTCAATGTCAAGGCGCCTGGCCTTGCGAGGCGATATCTTGCGAGGCCAGGCTCCTTGCTTATGAGGACACTGTCCTTCCTTGGTCAAAGAAAACGGTTCAATGGAACAGACTTGCATCTCGTGACCGCGGCTTCCACGGCTGTCATGTAACGTCACGTGACACGGGAGATAACGTTATATTTTATATGTATTAGTTTCTATATAAACAACAAGCATTTAACTTTTTAAATTGTGTATATGTTTATTAAATTGAAATATAAGCGAGTTACTACCCTCTAGCCACCGAAGCCGCAAATACTAAGCATCTAACCAGCAATAGATAACTTTTTTGGATCTAAAAAAACATTTGAAATTAGCTGACTTACTTTTAAACTTGAAAATTGTCCCCGAAGTAGCTGCCGGCTTCTGATCCGCCGTCTTTTTGAAAATACTGCGGTGTATTGTGAGTAATTTTTGACCAAGGCTAGGCTACAAGACACCTCCCATGTATCCTTGCTCAGCTAGCTAAACGGCTAACAAAAGGAGAACACATGCCTCGGTAGAAAATGAACATTGGAACACGTCTTGGCGGCTCCCGATGATGTATCTCCTAGGCAACCGGGGAGGTACCAAGACATCAAGGCAAGATTCCTTGAGAGGGAATGTGATGTGTTTGCCATCTTGATGGGAGCTGTACTCCCTTGGATTTTTGACCCTAATGGCTATCCATTGGTAAGATCTTACTCAAACACAAAAAATACGGCTTGTTTGCGATGATTTAGGTATGTACTGCCCCCTATTGCCAGGAAAAATGCACATTGTCACTTGAGTGTTTTAGACTAAGATTCAGTGTGGACCGCAATTAATGTAAAATTTGTCAAATAATTTTTTGTTTGATTAAAAGTTATTAATAAAGATTTTTTTAAGTTGCAACCAGCGTCCTGGCATGCATTGATGACTCCCCGTTCCAATTATTTGCACATTGTGTACTACACACTTGAAGCCTTACTGCGCACTTCCTCCAAGTGCACTTCACAGAAAACCATAGAGCGCAATCTGAGTGTTGGAATTGGGCCAATTTCTCAGCCATGTTGATGACAACAGCCAAAAAAGCAGCGAATTTGACAAAGTACTCGCTAACTTTTGATTAAACATGTCTACTTATGCTTCTCTCAGACGTTTTTACAAACCTAAATCCTCATAAGCAGTTGAGACTGAAAATTAAAAAAGTTATACATTAGTATAATTTAGTGGGAGAGAATTTTTTTTTCTTTTCTTGTTTTGATTAAACTCAACAGAATAAAAGCTCCATTAACTTCTATCCTAAAACAAGAAAACTTATAGTTACGGTGAGAATCAGGCCGTGCGATCCTTCACAACCTTTAAACACCCTCTGTGATACATGCTTCAAGCTGCTGCTCCGTTCCTTCTCACATTTAAACCCCATCTGACCTTCCATTCGTCCTCCATTAAAGGTTTTTCTGCTCATTTCCTTCCTCTGTCTGTCCTCTTCCCCTCCTTCTGTGCTCCCTCCATCATCCAGCTCTGTATCGCTCTCTGTCACTTTTTGTTTACAAACCCTTTCATCTGGATATTGCTTTATATGTAAAACCCGTCCATTTGAATGGGGTTTTATTTAAAACCCTGTCATTTAAATAGCTCTTTAGAAGACGGACCACTGAAAAGTCAACAAGGACCCTCCAATTGTGCTTCTTGACAGGACTCTCACACGCACACAAACACATGCTCGCACACCGCCTGCCTGTCCACACGCATCCGAGTCTATTATTATGCTAATGAGCCTCCAGTCTCCACATGTCCCCACAGCCCACACACACACACACACTAACACACACACACTCTCTCTCACAGACACATGCACATCATTTCTGCTGAGCTCAGCAGTATAGCTGCGCTCGCGGCTAGCATAGAAAATAATGAGGAATGGACATTTTCACCATCACGGAAACAGACGGGGTTGACTAGTCCGAATATCATTGTTGGACACAGAAAGACAGGGAGTAACACCCCAGAATCACGTCTGACATGTCTTCATATGTGTTTTGCTTTAAATTCTTTCTTTCAGCACATTCACAGAGACAAAAAAAATACTTCACGAGTTTGCACGAGCTCCCAACAGCTGAAAATGTTCTGTCATTGCACCACTGTTATCAAGTTTCAGGTATTTTGTCTGAGCCATCATAAATGTATATAATTGCAAGATTTTGTGTTCTAACCTGATTATATTACTATTATGCAGCATAAATTCTTTACGTTTAGCCATTTATATCACAAAATGCTTTGTGATCTTAGCTTTTTAGTGAAGTCTCTGATGATTTATTTCTTGGATCAGTAAAAGCAAGTAAAAAGGTTAAAACAGCAATTTAAATACTGTTTATTGTTTTCATTGCCTCAAATAGATTCTCAAAATTATAAAATGTACATTTAAACAAATTTACATTTTAACAGAAAGTGTATATTTTTACTCGATTGAGCACTGGTGTCCCTCATGGATGTGTGTTCGGTCCTTTGCTGATTAATCTGCTTCTTACAATGACAACATAATACTTATCTGACCATGAAGCTCTGTACTGATAAAACAATTGTGGGACTCATCAGAAACTTAGTTGGAGTCATTTTTCAAAATAAAAATGTAAGAAATGCATTCTCAGTTTTGTGAGAGATCCATTAACATCTTACCACAAGCTGCTTGATCTCTTTTCAACTAGTAGATGACACCCCTTTGCTGATATTTAATCAAGAATTAAACCTAATTGTTGTCAGAGAGTGAATGAGAACAAAAAAGTGGAAAAATGCATGCTCTCTTCTAAAATTAGATATTTTTATGCAGTAATGATTCATCACAAAACCACTAAAACAAAATGCCCTCATTCTCACTGACTGGTCATGTGTTCCACGACCACTAGAGGGCTTTGTGGTTTGAGTACAAACACATATAACTTTTGGGCATCTGCTGACACAAACAATAGGGCCTGACAGATCACAGGGTGATGGCTGAAAATGTGTTTCCTTTGTGTCAGCACCAGAACACCAAACCATGCTACTGTAAATGATTAAACTGGGCTGAAAGCTTCATAAATGGGATTGGAATGGATTTGGTGTAGATTCTGTTGTATGAATAACCAATCACAATCTTTCCTCCCCACCCTCAGACATTTCCCTCCTGCTCCACTTCATCACCACACACACACACACACACACACACACACACACACACCCCCACCCACCCACCCACACACACACACACACACACACATACACACACACACACACACACACACACACACACAAACACACACACACACACACACACACACACACACTCACACAGGGCCTTGGGGTGTGGGTAAGTACAGAGGGTACAGGGATGGCTCCCATCTCTGCAGTCCTGTGGCAGCCGGCACCCTGATTTTGTTTTGCAACTTAAACATTTCCACAAATGACATTCCATGCAAATGCACACTTAGAGTCTTGGGGGTGAGATCCAGCAGCGATCTCCCTGGGGTCTCCATGCTCCAGAGCAATCTCTAGGGGCTTTGATCCCCTTCATGTCTTCCAGGGGTCATGGGGGGCAGATCTGTGACCCCTCATACTCATTATTGTACACTCCTGTAGTGAAACCTTACATACGCAAACACATGTACGCACACAAGAGAGAGAGAGAGCACGGATTGCTCTCACAAGCATGGACTTGGGTGTTTTTGACACATTTCCTTGGGCTGTGGTTGGCACTAAATACACCATGAATTAATTATTACCCTGTTACTGTTATTTATCTTTATGTTGTTTGGCTCAGTGATATCGTGGTTCTGTATTTTTGTGTGTCCATGTTTTTTTCTCTCCTTCTCCAGGTCTAGAAGCAGACATTCTTTATTGTTGTCTTTTGTTTTCTTTTTGCCCCTAACCTCTTCCTTTCTCCCCCCCCCCCCTTTCTCTTTCATTTTTATCTGCGTGTCCATTGGGTATTGAAACAAATAAAAGCATTTCTAATGTAGTTTTGATATCAGGCGGGGCGCTGTATTTGGATCTATAGTGCTCCACCTGTGAGAGTAAAACTGAAAGGCTTGTTTTCTGCTCACAGACTTCAATTCTGATTGCTTTAGACCCGGACAGGACACGAGGGAAAGAAAAAAATCACCATGCTTTTTAAAGCCTCAGATTCTGTTCTGACACTTTTGCTGTACATTAGAATTAAAAATTACCAAGAAGCCCTCTTTTTCTGTACATTGCATCCATATTCAAATGCTATTAGACTTGAAATTTACCATAAAGACAGACTGAACAAACAAGCAACTATTAATAAACTATAAAAAGAGTTAAAATGAGCAAAACTTATATAAACGAACACGCACACACACTATTGATCAGTGTTAACACAAATCACTGCTTCTTTACTGCACCACGGCACACTTATGAATAAACTGTGTGCCCTGCCGTGTCCTGAGATTTGACGTTTATGATGAAGACCATTCAGTCAGAACATCTTCATCACCTTGTTAGCTAATCTCACACAAATGCTGATTTGCTTATGCGAATTGGAAGAGCTTTGATTTGCATTAAGCTAATTTCATGAGTTGACTGAAGGATAAAAGCACTGCTGTTGATTTGTACTTAAAGTAGATTTTCAATGGTTTATTTGATGAGTTTTAGTCTTTAATTGGGCCTTAAATCTAATTGTTATACATATTTTACCCCGAAAGCATCAGCAGCTTTTGAACCTTCTGCAATTAAAGGAAAAGATTCAGATTAGAGTCATTTCTGTGGTATTTACCCAGTATTTGGTTGTTTTTAAGCTTTTGCATCATTTATCAGTCAGAAAATGCTGATAACAACGATAACTGATTTTTTTCATTTCAAGCTATTTATTAGGTGCATGATATTTTTGGAATATTCAGCCTTTTTGTCTATATTAAAGATTTTAAAACCTTTGATGCATTATTTATGACCATCTAAGTCAGGATTTATTTTCCCCTAATTGCTTTCTTCTAAATTTTGATCAGTCCTTCAAATGTCCTCAAGAAGAGACAAAATACATTTAGACTGTCAAATATTTACTTAACAAACAAATGATTAATATATTCATCTAAATATGCTATAATTCATAATAAAAGTGTCACTCCACACACAACCAGAAGAGGCAGGAGTGATACACTAGAGTCCGGGGTACCGTCAGTTCATATAAGATCTGGTGTAAAGAAATTAGCAGTTACCTTTAATATCAATATTATTATTATTTACAGCATTGCATTAATAAAAAAATAAGAATGAAAATTTCCTAATAAAAGAAAATGATGTTGCTATTTTCCTTGCATATTTTATTTAACCATCACTGGAGCATATTTCACATCATCAAAAACACCCATTTTCAAACTCTACTTTGGTTTCACTTCCACAAAAATCAGCGCAAGCGAGGACTTGAAACTGTCTAATTAAAGACCTCCCTCCTCACCACACACCGCTGCTGATCCCACAAGACAAGATGCGTTTTTTTTATGAATAAAATTAAGTCTACTCAATGCTCTCCCATCCCTCCCCCCTCCCTCACGTTCTCTCGCGCCCTATAAAGCTGCAACAGCTGATCTCGTGCATCACAGAGAGCTGCAGCTCCAGAGGAGAGAAGAAAGGAGAGCGAATCAGAGTTAGACTCAGGTGTGATCTGGTACTCATGGTCTTCCAGCTTCTGTTTTTAAACCATCACATCTTCAAGGAGAATCAAGTAGATGCTGTTTATTATCTTTGGACGATCCTGTGATGCTCATCAGATGTTTTTTTAGACTAATTTAGCCCAGATCAATCACATTTTCTACATCTACTTTGACTCTCACCTATATGTGGACCTTTTTTTTTACAATTTTGCCGAGATTTTCCAAAAATCCACTCCCAAACTGCTCTTTTTTTCACCTTTGTTCTGATTGTGGCACGCGCTGAAAGGAAAAGAAGCGTCTGGTTGCGAGAGGAGCTGTCCGGTGCTGAAACCACGAGGCTGCACAGGGACCGTCTGAAGGAAACTCAAGCTCAGCAGGGGAGGCAGAAAACACCAAGAGAGAGATTCTAATGGAAAATAAAACTAACTAGATTGAGATTTTATTTTTTGTCCTTTTAGAGCTTGATAAGTCTTCCAGTAACCGCAGAATCCAAAATTTTTGGACAGAATTCAGGTATTCTCTCATCTTTGCAGAGATTCCAGCAACTAAAATAAGGAGAACAAGAGGATTACTTCATCATTCAGAGCCATGTTTCCAATTTTAATTAGATAAAAAAAAGGAAACACATGCTGAAAACCCTGCAGGTTCTCATCACTAGAAGTTGTACTTGAGAGAAAACAGAAGCAGAGACGCTGTCCCATCATGCCTCGATCTTTCTTAGTGAAGAAAGTCAAACTGGACGATTTCTCAGCTGCTGAGCTGGAGAGCTCCTACAGTCACAGCCGGAGAGAAGAGCTCAGTCTGAGATTCCATCATCATGACAAAGGTTAGTCACACACCCACACTAAAACACACACAGCCATACACCACCCGGGGTATTTTCTTTCTTTTCAGCCACAGATTTAAAGCGTTAGTCATGACTGTTGGAGAAGGAGGAGGAAGAGGGGGATTACAGGGTCGAACTCGGGTCGCAGAGCATAAAAACTAAATTTGAATCTCTGTGTTGGAAGCATTTTTAGAAAACCACGACGTGATGATGAAGACTTACAGTGTGGATGAAGTGCTGTGTGTTGACCTTTATCACAGTCACATCAGAGGTCAGGGCAATGCTCAGTGATTTATCTCTACAAGAGGAGGCCTGTCTGAATTTATAGGATTCAAAACAACAATAGATCTGGAACTCTGGAGATATTTTTAGAAACGCGTGCAGAATAAGTCCTGCAAACAGAAAAGTAGCATGCAAGCAAATAAAAGACCCCTGAACGTATTCCAGGTGTTGTTTTTATTTTACTCTAACCCACTTTCTGGGTCACTGCTGCTCCAGCATGGTCTTAATTCACTTCAGATGTTTTATTACAAACGTCTCCTGAAAACTGCATAGAAGTAAATAAAAATAGACAAAAAAATTGTTGTATTTTGTTAAGCTGAGATATGCAGAAAAAAATCCCCCATGGAGGAGCAGCAGAGATGCGGTGAGTTGAGATGTTTGCTGAATGAAAACGTTAATACGTAATGTCACTGGCACACAAACACTGGGGTTCCCTGTTGTTCTGGTACCAATTATATGATTCCAACTAACTCTCTGCAGCACCTGTGAGCATCTTTACAAGATTATAGCAACGTTCTCACATTTAAATCGACTGCAAATGGTTCCCACATGCTGTCTAATCCTGGATATTCATGCTAGATGCAGGAGAGACGAGCAAATCATTCCAATATTGAGTTAAAATGATGAGAAAAGTGAAAGTATTACGTGGTTTAGGAAGAAAGCCTGCCCTGAAAATCACACTGTGTGAATTGTGAAATAAGTTAAAGCTTTGTTTACAGCTCAATACTAAGTAGTGTGGATAAAATTAGCCTCCATATTTAGAAAATAAGCCATAAATTTATTAGTCATCTACCTAATTGTGAGTCATATTTTGTATGTATAATAATAATTAAATAAAATTACAGTTTTGCACTCAAAAGCAGAATTTAAAGTTCATTCCACTTATAGAAGAAGATCACTTCTATAGCGCCTCAAGATAAAAATCACGAGGCGCTTCACAAAAACAAAAAATGTAAAATACAAACAAGAATTTAGAAAATTATTAAAAATATATTTAAAATGAGCAAAAAAATAGACTATTGTGATTAAAAATTGTAAAGAAAGAGAGAGAGTGAATAGGAAAGAGGGAAATCAGTGGATCCTGAGGAAGGTGGAATAGGTGGGGAGAGCAGAACAAGGAGAGGGTGATGAAGGTCACGCCAAAAGCCAGCTTGAACAAGTGAGTCTTCAGCTGCCTTTTAAAGGAGACCACTGAGTCCACTGATCTCAGGCTCAGGGGGAGAGAGTTCCAGAGTCTGAGGGCCACAGTAGCAAATGATCTGTCACCGTTGGTCTTTAGCCTGGTGCTGCACAACCAGTAGGCTTTAATCAATGGACCTCAGGGACCTGCTGGGGGTGTAGGGACTAAGAAGATCACCAATGTAAGATGGTGCTTGTCCATGTAAGGCCCTATAGACCAGAACCAGGATCTTGAAACGAACCCTGACGTTGACTGGCAGCCAGTGAAGCTGGAGGAGAAGCGGGGTGATGTGGGTGTGTTTGGAGGACTTGGTCAGAAGCCGAGCACAGGCGTTCTGAACCACCTGTAGACGGTTCAGGGAGGTTCTGCTCAGACACGTGAAAAGAGAGTTACAGTAGTCTAAGCGTGAGGACATGAAGGTGTGGATAACTGTCGCAGTATAATAAGTACACACCAAGTGGACTTGGTCAATACTGTATGTGTTAGAGTCACTAATTGATACAAAGAAAAATGCACTGAAATGTAAGTTACTTTAACAAACTAGTCCTTAAAATTTGCTTACAGTTTACTACAGCTTAAGTGTAAAACTCAGAAAAACTAGTTCAGTAAGCAGATTTTTGAGTACTTGGTACTAGCTTCTTTTAGTTAATGTAACTTGTTTTAAGTGCATTTTACTTTTTAAGAATTATTAGCTCCAACACATAATTACCTAGTCCTGTGTTCTTATAGGTGCAGTCAATTTTGCATTCATTTTTCAAGTAATAACAATTATTCACATTTTACAGTGTATGCCCATTTTAAATTAAGTTCAAATATCTGATGGGATGTTGGGAAGTAAAACTCCACTAAGCCACCCAAATGAAGGAATATAACTACTTTGACCAGGTTTGAAGCCGAAAACTACCCAATATGGAGCGAGCACGAGAGGGTGGATGAACGAGTCCTTAATGAGATCAAAATCATTAACACTTTTAACAAGAACTCGTCTCTGTTAACTCATTTCTGCCCTCTAGTGGCCAAAATCAGATGACTCCATCTCTAAAGACAGGGAAGTTGCCTGTCACTGCACCGGACCCGGTGTGTAATGGTGTTAGTGCAGCCTGGTGGCTTTCACATTGAACCAAGGTCAAATGTAAGATGAGGCGTTTTCAGGCGTTCGGATGACTAATCAGAGGAGGGGAAAAAGAAAACCTGCTGCAGCTGCAGAGGATTAGTGGCAAGCATGTGCACTCAGAGGAAGTTATAAATATAACAAGAGCTGGAGTGAAGTAACTGAAGCTTGTTGCACACACACACACACACACACACACACACACACACACACACACACACGCGCACACACACACACACACACACACACACACTGCTGTGTTTCTGTCAACTCGGCACATTTCCCAGCCCGCTTGCACAGCTGACTGCACAGCATCACACACACACACACACACACACACACACACACACACACACACACAGAGGGAGAGAGAGTGACGGAGAGAGAGAGAGAGAGAGAGAGAGAGAGAGAGAGAGAGAGAGAGAGAGAGAGAGAGAGAGAGAATGACCTACAAGTGTCCAAAGCACACAAGTGTGCATCAGTCGCTGTTGCTTTGAATCAAAAATTTAACTGTGGCGTTCTCTCTCTCTCTCTCTCTCTCTCTCTCTCTCTCTCTCTCTCTCTCTCTCTCTCTCTCTCTCTCCCTCTCTCTCTCTGTCTCTCTCTCTCTCTCTCTCTCCCTCTCTCTCTGTCTCTCTCTCTCTCTCTCTCTCTCTCTCTCTCTCTCTCTCTCGCTCTCTCCATTTCCTCTACCCATTTTCTAATTCTTTGGATTTGAACAACACATAACAGGGGGAAAGGTTTTGCTTTGGTGGAGGTTTCAATCTTGAATAAGTATTTTGAACAGCTTTAATGCTGCAGAAGAACTTAAAAACGAATGCAGAGTTGGCTTACCAGGAGGCGAAGGAAGATAATTAGACAGAAAATGGATAGAAAATAGAAACCAATCTGCATTTTTTATTTTTCCCCATAAAAAACACTTTAGCCTTCCACGCTGATCACCGAAAGTCCGCTGATTCACCCGAGAAGATCCCTTTTAGCCTTTACAAACTCAAAGACTTTTTTATTTTCACTTATACTGAATCTAGTTTGGACGCGGGGCTCAAACTAAAGTCAGACATCACTCTGCTGAAGCTGCTCAGTTTGCGCCTGAAGGTTTTCCTTCAGTCGACCCACCTGAAATAAAAAACACTTGATCATGCTTCAAAAACTTTACTTATGCTCTATAAACCAAGAAACACACACACACACACTAACACTTGGAGAGTGCAGTGATAGAATATTTATGATTCAACCCCTTTTCAGTCTCTCCACGTCACAACCCTCTCCCCATCCATCCGCCTGTTATTTTTTCCTATTTTCTTTCTCTTTTGCTTAATTAAATCTAAAAACTGGACTAAGAGCAGTGCCAAACACTCACCCACCACCACATTAAACATAAAGTGCTCCTTGTTTTTGGTCTTTCCCTCCCCCGTCCCGTCTCTTCTCCTCATCACATTATCGATCAACATCTGAGCTTTTCTCAGAACTGCATCATGAAATTATATTACCAGCAACAGTATCTCCTCGGCTGTCTGTGTCTTAATGCTCAGCGAGTGCTAATTGAAATGGAGAGCTATTGATCGGCAGCTCCGCAGGAGTTGTGGCTGTGGCTTATTAGCTACCAGTCTCTCCTTGTGTCTGTGAAGAGTTCAGCCTGTTGAGCTGCAGCCAATAATAGAAATAATGAAGCAGCTGACATCAAAACTCGCTAACAAATAATTGATCCGATTTGTCGGGAGCTGTGCAGGAAAAAAAAAAAGAAACGCTGGATGCCAAGGATTTCTTTTTTCTGAGACAGATGTGGTTACAGTTTAGCTGGAGAAGGAGCCTGTCAGTGTCAGCGTGCCCGCCGAGCAGCAGACCTCCCAGCTGCTGTAAAAGAGACGGTCCGTGTGCAACAGCTGAAGTTTCGACAGCCTCGGGGTGCAACTGCGTGTGGCGGTGGACCTGTCAGGAAAGGTGCAACTGATGAGGAGCAAGTGTGCTCACTGAACCTTTCTATGAAAAATAGAGATTTCCCTCAGAGGGGCAAGTGTCTACTCAGTGCTGCCAAAGGCACAAAAACATTTTAGTAGCTCTATAAATATCACACAGTCTCCTCCTGCTTCCTACTTTTCACATAAAGGAGAGCAACGTCCAATCCACGTGTTGTAAATGTGATCCTGGATGTAGAAATGTAGATACCAGACACGCCAGGCTTTACTGTAATGTTCCGTTAATAATGAATGAAGTTATCGGACTTTAAATTGTGGCCCACGCTGCCGTGATTGTGCAAAATCAGTTTATAAGTTAATGCTAGCGGTGAAAAGCCCCTGGAGTGTTGAGGATTATTACAGTCGCGTCTCTAAACTCACCAAACAAACTTCACCAGTTAAGAGGAAAGTTCAGATCTTTGAATGTGGGTTTTGTGGGAAGGTTAACATTTGAACACCTTCAGTTTCATGCCTACAGATGAATAAAAACACTGGTTTGCCTCGTGTCTCCTCATTTAAAATCTTCATAGAGTTTTCTTTAGCACAGAAGTTGTAAAGTATAGCTAACTTTTCCTCGCTAACCAAATTTAAAAGATCTTTATTACACAGTTTTTCAACGAGAAGGGATCAGGATCTTCTTCAAGAACTCTATGGGTTGGGGCTCAAACAACTTAAAGGGAACGTGGGAGATGTTTCTATGGAGTATTTTTTTGCCATTTTTCTTGAAATGCTCTACACATATCAGTGGCAACCAATAGATTAAAAGTAATAATTTTAACCACATCTGAAATGTACAATCCTGGAAAAACCTCATTCAATCTGTGAATACCTGGATCCTTACCATATCCCTCTTTGTGAATAAATAACACTTTTTTGGCTCAGAGCAGCCTAACGGGAAGCGAAGCTAGAACTGGACTGCTGAGTTTAACAGAATTTTTAATTCTTTTTGTGGTTTGCAAATTTCATTAAAGGAGGTGTTTTACATGTTATATTTAGAGTTTGTTTCTGTTCTTGTTGGGAAACTAGGTGATGGACCTGTCGTCTGTGAACGCAGTCTATATTCTTGGCTGGTAGAGCAATTTATGTCCGAGTGCTGGTAAAGCTGTTTGAGGGGGGAGACTGAGTGGGAGGAGGTTTCAGGGTGGGTTCTGAAAGTTTTGTCCTGTTGTTTGTGGTTGTTTTGTTGGTAGCAGTAACCTGTTGTGATTTTGAAGTTATGGTGTGGTTCACTGAAAAGCCATTTTTAATTCTTTCTGATTATAATCGGTCACTTGAATTTTTCATTCAGGCAAAATGTGAAAATAGTCTTCTCTCCTGCATTAGCTTCTGATAGAAAATAGACAGTGAAGCATTAGAACAGGGGTAGGCAATCCTGGTCCTGCAAAGCCACCGTGCATCATGTTTTTCCCTGTTCCAACAAACCTGATTTAAATCAGTAGGTAATTAACATGCTTCTGCAGAGCTTGATGACTACTTGAACAGGTGAATCAACCATTGGAGCTACAACATGCTGAATAGCGGCAATCCAGGAACAGGATTGCCTACCCTGTGCTAAAATTCAAAAAGGCTGACATATCTACGTCACACTGTCACTTAACATTCATGGACTCGACCATCTTGACTCGTGATGGGGAAGGCTGTTGGGTTTAGCATCCAGCAGAGAACATCTCAGTCGGTAGAAGCTAACTGTTAGCATGAGCCGCTACGCCACACAGCAATACTCCATCAGGCGTGTGTTATTTGAGGAGATAAAACATCAGCGCGGCAAAGCAAAGCAGAGTCAGTGGTAGTCGTGTTGCTGTTAACCAATCAGAGGTGTGATGTTCAAATATCAGGAAATAATACTCCAAATCCTGCCGTCTGAAGCTCAGCTCTGATCTGGCTCACTTCTACACACCCACCCCCCCACCCACCCCCACCCCCAAAATACGACTTACAAGGCATTAATTCCTGCTAAGGGCCACTGGAAATGTATTGAGTAAAACGAGTGTTTCACATCTTTAAGAATAAAGAGCAAATCTAAGAATTAGACTGCGTTTACTGAGGTGCGTTACATTAAGAATTATGGCAGGAAAAGTTGCCAACAATGGGTCAAAAAACGTAAAATAACTAATTTTTATGGTGTTTGACAGTTCATTGTGTTCTAACCGTAGTGATATTTTCATTCTCTTTCCTCAGATTACGTGAGTGATTACCTGAGTCCAAACCCTTATGACGATGTTGTGGGAAGTGACTCATCAGTCATCTCTAAAGTACCCTCCCCTAGCCATTCCTCAATTATCTATGGCCACATTAACAACACCTACTCTGGTATCCACGGTGACATCCATGGCGATTCAGACCAGCCAGACAGTCCAAGGTCCGAGGTGTCGTCATCAGCTGGTGGATACATCAATGGAGACACAGCTGTTAGTGAAGGGTACACTGTCGATGCGTTTTTCATCATGGATGGACGATCTCGAAGGAAAGCCACGGGAAACCAGAGGGGAGCCACCCAAAGGCACACCTGCAGCGAGTGTGGCAAAACCTACGCCACATCCTCCAACCTGAGCCGACACAAGCAGACACACAGGAGCATAGACAGCAAGATGGCCAAGAAATGCCCCACATGTGGGAAAGTTTACGTCTCCATGCCTGCCATGGCTATGCACCTGCTCACCCACGACCTCAAGCACAAGTGCGACGTGTGCGGCAAGGCCTTCAGCCGGCCGTGGCTGCTGCAGGGACACATGCGTTCGCACACGGGAGAGAAACCGTTTGGCTGCGCTCACTGTGGGAAAGCGTTTGCCGACCGCTCGAACCTGCGTGCCCACATGCAAACGCACTCAGCATTTAAGCATTACAAGTGCAAACGGTGCAACAAGACATTTGCACTCAAGAGTTACCTGAACAAGCACTACGAGTCTGCGTGCTTTAAGGGGGCTTTCTCCCCCCTCAGCTCACTGAGCGAATAACCCAACACAGGCTTTATTTATTTATAGAACTTTATTTAATTCAAATGTTGCTAATTTTCTTTTGCTTCAGCTCTTTAAAAAATACAACAAAGAGTTTTCTTTGCTATGATCAAGAAACTGACCGAAAACGTTCCCATTATTCCCGCTTAGATGAGATTCGCCTCCTATTAGGAAGATAAATAAAGCACATTTAGCCAGGCTTATCCGATAAGCTATTTATCAATCCTTGTTTGTTTGTTTCTTTCTACCCGTGAGGACATGACACAAAAGCACAATTCCTCCATCTCTCTGTCTTTTGTTTTGTGACAGAGTTAAAAGCATCCATCAGTTCTTCAGAAAACGTCTAGATCTTGCTTTGAAGACAGCTAATCCTGTGTTGGAGAGATTTAAACAACTACAATGAACTGTGAACTAAACATATACAAGCCTGCCATAAGTTGGTAGCTTTTAGTATTTGAGTACACACAAGTAGAGGTAAACGGTGTATTTTTCAGACTTGGACTACTTATGACAGCATGAGAAATATGAAATAGGACTATCAGAGCTTCCGTTTGGCTCAGAATTCATACTGAGCCTCCGTTTTACGCCTTAGTTTCCACTATTTCCGTACTGCTTAAATTTCATGTTTGTTTAATTATTCCTTTTTCCCCAAAAGGATTTTAGACATTAAAATGTATTTTAACTCTTTCCCAGTTTTATAAAAGTGTTAAGTTGCCATTAAGCAACTCAGAGTTTAGCTATTTATTGCCTAATTTAATAATTTATGGGGTTATTTTGTATTATTTTGCACTTTATTGCAATTGTTTGCCTTTGTTACAAATATGCCAAAGCATTTGACACTTTCTAAATACCAACTACCTTTTTTATGTTCGTCTGTCACTTTATTCACACGAACTTTTGCATGCAAAAAGACAAAATAAATGGCCTAAACAATGGAATCTATGCCAACTTTATGAATTTTAGGGATTATTTGATTTATTCAACGGGCAAATCAAGCAAATTTTCATCTTGGGCAATATTTCATTCCCACCTGAGAGAGCAATAATGCATGAAATTGAAAGAAAAACTGCTTTTCCCCTAAAACGACAACATGAAGTTGCTGGAAATAAAAATTTCAGGGAGTAAATGAACAAAGTTAGTGTTAAATAATGAACGGGTCGAGTTTTGAGCTCTGGGTTAAGAGGAATTGTGGCATTTTGGACTTTTTTTCTGTGACTTTGGTGATTAAGGGCGAACATTTGTTGAAAGATGATGAAAGCAGAGACTGCAGGGTCAGTTTTCCAATTTTTCAACCTCTGCTGCTTTTTATGTAAAAAATAAAAAGCCTGCTAGTTACAACGATATCATGGCATCATTAGCTTATCAATGACAATTACGTCTGTATGAGCTATTAGGAGCTGCTGGTGCTTCTGAGATCCACTCAGAGCTCTGGGTGGGGTCGGGATGAGTCGTTTTGTACATGGTTTATGCATTGCCTGCCTCGTATTATTACTCTAAAATATCGTAGAAAGTAGAAGGTAGATCTCTGGTGCTGAAACGTGGATAAAAAGATGAACCCAGAATGTGAAAAGTAACTTTCTGACAGGCGTGGTGCTTAAAGAGGTCTCTGGATTGACTCTAAAGGCAACAACACTCATTAAAACCTCACAATATTGTTTTCATTTGAATCATCTCTGGCTGTTACGAGTGTGTTGAGTGTGTAATTATAAAGACTGAGAACATTTGGTCACTATTTCAGCACCAGAGAGCATCACTGAACACTAGTTTCTACTACTGTAGCCTACTATAGCCACAAGCTAGTATAACTATATAAAAGCACTTCTTGTAATGAATTATATCCTACAACGTTTCTTTTTTATTTATTTATTATTTATTTTCCAAAATAGTAGCACAATGAAAATGTTTAGAATCAGGTAGAAAATGCCTTGTATGTAGAAATACACATTTTTTCTCAATTTTCTATAATAAAAATAAAAAAGGCAAAAACAACAATGATGCTGACACGACACAGGCTGTATTGTCTTTACATAACACAAGAAAATAAAGATAAAAAAACACTTCCAGTATACAGAAATGCTGTGCCATTTTTAAAAAGAAAAATATTTGTGAAAGCATCAACTCACCTTTTTTTAGAGAACATGAGAATGCGGCTATTTTGTGGCTAAAGGCCTTGTACATAAGAACTGATGTGACTTTGGACTTGGATAATTTCTACTGATCTGTACAGAGTGAAGAAGATGATGATGGCGATGATGATGATGATGATGATGATGATTATTTTTGTCTGGAGCTTCCTGTTTTGAGTTCTTCCACTGAGGTTTTTCTGGACCTCTAGGCTGGTTTGAAATGATGTAAAGCACAAAAACAACACTGGGCATTTTGTTTCACTTCCTAAATAAAAACTACTTGGAAAAAATATAGAGTCTGGCAATTTTGCATCTTTAAATCGTCATGAAATGTTTTATACATGTATATATGATAATTGCTGGCAACAAGCTCCACCTCCTGGTGCAACCCCCCCCGCCCCCCCCCCCCCCCCGCTGGAGCCTAAACATTAGGTGCTGATTTTTTGCAAGATGTGCAGTTCAAAAATGCAAATGCATATCTTTCGATCTGTCTATCGATCGATCGAACAATCTATCGACTTACCGACAGTGCCAGGGCCTTTCCAAGGGTACAGTCCCATCTAACTATCGGCCAATAACCAGAAGGGATTTGGCAGAGATACTATAAACACCAGCTGCTGATAGACCGAACAAGACTGCAAAGCCCAACACACCAACCTGTGTATGGCCTGGACTGATTACAAGAAAACCTATGACTCAATGTTGCACTCATGGATCATTGAATGCTTGGAGCTGTACAACATCAACAGGACTCTTAATCTTCAGTGCAAACTCAGTGGGGCTGTGGAAAACCACCGTTGAGGCCAATTGCGCAAGTCTCCATCAAATAGTTCTGAACCCCCTCAGCCACATAATCAACAAGACTGGCAATGGAAACCAACTCAAGAATGGAACTACAATCAGCCCCCTCCTCTACATGGATGGCATAAAGCTGTACGCCAAGAACGAGCGAGACGTTGACTCACTGATCCACACCACCAGGATCTTCAGCACTGATATCAGAATGTCATTCAGACTGAGAAGTGTGGTCAGACGGTGACAAAGAAAGGGAAAGTAGTCCACACAGAAGGGGTCTCACACAGAGAAGGAACAATAGCACACATTGAGGACAGCAAGAAGAACCTCGGTATGCCACAAGCAAATGGCAACCTTGATGAAGACGCAAGCAAAGGAGCCACATGCCAAATACCTACTGTACAAGTAAGGCAAGTCCAAGGACAAGAACAAGAGCCAGGCAATAAACAGCTTAGCCCTACCAGTAATCAGATTACCTGGAGGAATAATAATGCAAGATCTTGCTTTCCTTGACGTTGGACGTGTTACTGCTAGTTTACCCATTTAATTAGAGATCCACTAGGATAAATACAATAAAGTTGACCTCACCAAATAGAATATTTACTAAGACATCACAATAGAACTATAGACACATTATTGTGTGTGTGTGTGTGTGTGTGTGTGTGTGTGTGTGTGTGTGTGTGTGTGTGTGTGTGTGTGTGTGTGTGTGTGTGTGTGTGTGTGTGTGTGTGTGTGTGTGTCTGCTCTGTCTTCTCGATCCCCAGTGAGTCGTAGAGGATGGCTGCTTATACTGAGTCAGGATCGTCTGGAGGTTTCTTCCTGTTAAAAGGGAGTTTTCCTCTCCACTGTCGCTGCATGCTTGCTTAGTATGAGGATTGCTGTAAAGTCACTGACACTAGTCAGTGACTTGATGCAATTTGCTGGGTTCCTTATATAGGAAACATTATTTCTGATTGGCTTAATGAACTGTGAATTGGAATGTTTATTATGTGAAGTGCCTTGAGACGACTCTTGTCGTGATTTGGCGCTATATAAATAAACTTGAATTGAATTGAACTGAATCTTGGTGAAAAATGAACGCAACACTGGATGGAAAGAAGCTTATCGAAGCACAGCGAACGTGTGTCAAAATCAAAGCTAAAGTCAGTCCAAAACAGTATTATAGTGTGACCTTCTTTTTGTAGTGACTTACTTTTTAGGCCATGCAGTGTAGTTTTCTATTCCTGTATTTTAATATAATACCTCCTTTCATTAGTTAAACCTTTAATTAAAGACAATCAGACTGAGCTTTATTGATAAGTCATTCAGAAACCCACTAAAGCGATGGTGTCAACATGCTCGTTAATAAAAAACAAATAGGAAAAAGCTTTTTTTCCAATCTAAACACTCGTTTTGGCCTCATCATTAAATTAGTGGTTAATTAGGCTTTGATGAAACAGTCATTAGGAGGATTTGCCTGCAGTAGTTAAAAAGTAATTGTTTGCAAAGCTTTAATTTTTTTCAGTTCGCATCTTTAAGCACATCTCCAGAGGTCAAAATATCAGATTTTTACTTCCTTACTATCAAGCAAAAAGCAAAGCTGTGCACGTGTGTGGCTGTAAATGAGCTATTTACACTGAAAAGAGATTAAATGTAGAATTTGTTTTATCACAGTGGGGTTTCCACTGCAGGAGTTCTGGGAAGGAGACAACTGAGTGGGAGGTCTGATGGCTCGGTCCTCTCCGTCGTTGTCTCTCCACTGTGACATCAGCATATCGCCACTACTTCGGCAGTGAGTGATGTCACTGATCAGTACCAGAAGGCGTCCACGGACATGTATAACAATAAAACTTTCATTCTGTCAAAGTACGTCGTGTAATGTCCAGCAATGGTCAGTTTTTAGGTACAGTTTGAGCATTCAACATCTGGTCAACATCTGCCTGCCTTCATGCCATCAGCTGGAGCTCAGAGCCTCTCTGCAGCTCTGAACACGTGATAACGTATTGTCAACAATAATGTTCTCTCCTCAAGGCCCAAGCTTCCTTTATCGTCCTACAGGATTCTTCATGCCTCTGAATAAGTCAACACTCGCAGCTAGAATTAGTTGCTAAATCAAAGAATGATTTCTTAAATTAAATATGAACATTTAAAACTTATAAGTTAGATAATCATTAAATAAATGTTTGTTTATTGCTACTTATAATAATTATAATATAATGAAATGCTTTCATTAATCCGTGATTGAAGTTTGAAATGAATGTTATGTTATGATTACATTGATCGATGTATGTTTCAGCATGTTAATATGACGAGGTCATCACCATTTGCACTCACACAAGGACAAAGTAAAGTTAAGTCAAACGCGTGACACATAGATAGCCCTTTACCCAGATCAAGAGCATCCAGTATCAAAGAAAGTGTGTTTCTGATGTTGTCTTGGTAATATTCCTCAACATGTCAGCCTTTGGTTGGCTACACAAGTCATAACATGAGAACATTAAAACCGGATCACTCTGGTGATTCATCAGTTTTGAGAAAGCTTCAGACCGGCCATCTGAAGCAAAATCTCTCTAACCTCGGTGTCTAGGAGTCCAAGGACTTCAACATCCCGGATCTATCACGAGGGTCTTCGAGTGGGTGTGTAGACATGACAGATTACGTCTGATGTGCTTTTGATAATAATCAACTTCATAGCTTAACGCAAACCAAATTCTTTTGCATCCAGAAAGCTCTCCTAGATACGGAAGTTCTGATAACATCACATTCACACATAGGTTTCATACAGCACATCTACTCCATCCAGATTCATCCACTCACAGTAAATATTAGTTAACTTGTCATGTTTTAATTGTTTGTGAGTTAAATTCTTACTTTTACAAACCTGACTCTTTCCTGAATCAAAACAAAGTGTTTGCAATCCCTGAATAAAGCAAAGACTCCTAGACTCTTCTGATTAAGCACAGTAAAGACCAAGCAGGTTGATATTCTATATTTAGATAGAGTATTACAGCTTATTGGTCATAAGTAAAGGTAATGTATATTGAGCTCTTAAAGCACTCAATTTACCAAACCTACAGTCGTAACTTAACCCATTCAGGGGATAGGGAGAGCGGTTGTGTGATGTAAAAACGTTGTTCACTGACTAGAAGAATCGTTTTTTACCCACAAGTTCCGATAGTGGAAAATGGCCTCAAGGAATGCCAACTGGTTCCACTAAATCTATTTGCTTACATTTAAAAGAGTAATATACATTATTATGTGTTATGTTGAAAGTAAATGTATATTAGTTTAGTTTTAGTGGAAGCAGTTGACATCATTTCGTGAAGTAAATTCAACTTTTTTTACAGTGTACTGTACAGGTTACATTTAACTAACATTTAATATTTAAATTAGATACTAGAACCTTTTTATTGCAGAAATTGATTATTTTTCTTTACAGAATGCAAGAATGTTTTTGTGTTATCAACCGTTGCTTTCCTCCGATCAGCCATAAAAAGATCCTTTAGCCCTAATGGATACCATCTGCCAGCACTTTAACTCAAAAGACAAATGGTATTCTATTAAAAGGTGATTGATTTTCTCCTATTGCTGCTGAAGCTATTGATCTTTGATGTGCAGCCTCGCTCTTCTAATGATACTAATTCTGATATTCAGTGAACCTGAAAAAAAGGCTTTCTAACAATTATAGCTACTGTTGATCCATGAGTGTGTTGCAAAAATACATGAAAATCCAACAGGTTTAGTTTTGTAACTATGTTGTTAATTAATTTAATTGTAATAGAAATTGTCAAATAATTTTAATAATAAATAAATGACAAAACAAAATTGTTATAAATTAATCTATGGTTTCTATTGAGTAAATATCTGTTACACAATTCTAAAAATGAATAGAGCAAAAGTTTTATACAAGGTTTTTAATGTAAAAATGAGAGGAATAAATTATCCTAAACATTCACTAATGCACCAAAATATCTAATAATGACTGAAGTTGGAGAAAAACTCCATATCTCAAAATAACAATATTTTAAATAAAAGATCAATTTACTCCACGTGATCAGAAATCAGAAGCTTTTTGAACATTTTAAATTAGATCAGTTAAGTCATAATAATGCTAATGAATACAAGCACATGGAAATTATTGTTATTTGTAGTATTTTAAAAAAGAGATATGAGATTGTAACTAAAAAATGATGTGTTTTGAATTTCCATGTTGATATTCATCTTATAACAGGTTATCATGTCAGTTTGCCACAATTAATAAAATAACCCAGGGGCGGTTCTAGGGTGAATCCAGGGTGGGCCAGTGCCACCCTGGCAGCATACCCCCCCCCCCCCCAACAAACACACACACACACACACACACACTGAGGGTGGAGCCTAATTAATAAGTGCTGATCTTTTGTATAAATGAATGCAAGATGTGAAGCTCAAAAATGCGAATGCATTTTTCTGATTTTGAAAAGAAATGCTTAGACAAATATTTTCATGCTGTCACTGAGATAAATAACTCAGATATCG